ATATCACTTTAGTTTTATTACAGTAAAATCTTAGTTGGCATATAAATATAGAATAGCTGAAGAAAAATGTCTTCCACTAATCATATCTATATTACTCTATAAAAAAGAGCGAAGAGGACAAATGTATTCTAATGAAACGGGATTAGCCAAATTAAATTTAAAAAGATGATACAATCTTGATAAATTTATTTTGATTCTTCTTCTATTATTTGAAGCTGTATAAAAAGTTGAGCATAATGTTCGAATAATGTATTAACTGTTAAAAGAGATGGGGCTTCAAAATATTTTCGACAATAAGTAAAAAGATTACCACATACCACAACACATACCACAACATTCAGCAGATAAAAAAGCAAAGCACAAAATTTTGTAAACAAAGAAAAGTACTATTTATCTAATACAAATCTAACAGTGGACGATCTTTTGAGGTTACTTATTGTGATGCAAAGAGAAGTACATAATTATTGATATAAAATATTAATTAGGTATTCTTCGCAATCAAATAAGACTTATAAAGAGGTCTTATCAACCTATAATGATATTGTAGCTACGATAATTCTCATTATCGATACTCCACATAGCTGGGAGAAATGAAGAACAGGAAATAAAAACTGCATATGAAATATATAAAATTAATAAGCATTAAGATCTTCGTTGCCTTCTCAGCCTCTAAATGAAGTTTTTATAATTTATTTAAAGATTATTTTTGAGCAATGGACTAGAAATAAGTATTGATATACACTTATGAATTTTTTATCTCGGGTCACAAATGGTATCTATAATATTAATTGTACAAATGGTTTAAATGGTCTAATGATAAATTATAATGATAAAATTATATTAAACTTGATTTTTCGTAATTATTTTGGAAAATTAATATAAAAACAAATATTTAATTTTTCCCAACTATTTAAATATACCTGTAAGGAGGCCGAGCCGATGAAAATCTTATGCAAACCGAACATGGATATGTTCCGCTTATATATGTTGGTGCTACCGAGAGAGTACATATCGCTTAAAACTTAAAGACCAGGCAAATTGTATTCTCCTGTAGTAATAGAAAGAGATGAAATAATAATGCTGCGTGCTTGAATTTAATGGAGCTCAGGGCAATCTCGATTCTCCACTGGTTCATTCGCCGACTTCCTTGGTTACTGCTGTTAAACACCACCAGCCTGAAAGCTGATAGACAACATTAAGCTATTCACCCTGAATTCGCCTCCACTTCCTTTGTCACTCCATTCGTTTCATTTACTGCATTGGGAATCGCAATTTCTAACTGACCCTGGCACTATTGCTGAGGTGTTTAGAATGTAGTCAACACATTACGCGACAAATACATCACAGCATCGATGAACATCTTCAAGGGGCATCAGATGAAATTTAATTAAAATAGATTTTTCATGAAATTAAACACATACTTTTCTATCTAAAAATAGTTGGCACTTAAGGTATATTTAGAAGCATGAAAATGCTTAGATTGTTTTATAGATTTTTATTTTATTTTATGTCATTCGTTGCGAAATAAATATATTGTTATAATAGTATTTTTAAAATATGGAAGGACGCCTGTATATTTCACTTTTGTTCATAAATTTTTAATCTAAATTATATTGCATTTCTTAATTGTATAATATTAAATATTGACATTAATTATGCATTTTAATTTTAAAATATTACCTGCAGATTATTAAAAAAATATTAATACGAATTTTTTTATCTACATTTACATTTATAAATATAGTAGAACGAAATAAAGTATGTCAAATAATTATTGATTCTCTATGTTTTTTTATATATAGAGAATATATATTTATATTCAAATATATTAAAATATGTAATTATATTAAAAAGCTTCAAAGTTTTTATATAAATTTACTATACCATTTAATATAAACAAGAAAACTACGAAAAATTTTAAATTTAGAAAAATTATGCAAAAATTATGCAAAAAAAAATTATGTAAAATACATATTAATATTTGACCCAAATTTGAATGTTCTCAATTTTAACGTAAATATAATTCAATCAAATAATTTCAAAATATAATTTTTTACTCTTTGTAAACATCAAACAAAATTGAGTATCTAAAAAAATAAATTGCAAAATTTATAATATTTAGGTAATAGTATAATAAAAAATCATAAATAATATTTACGTTTTTTTTTACAAATTAAATGAAATATTTTATAAATGCCATGTACTAATTATGATTATGTTATCTTAACATCGATAAGAAAATGTATCTATAATTATATACGATTTTCATTTAATTATGTTAAAAGGAATTTAACATTTTATATAATAATAAAATACTATTTATATACGAATTTATTAAAATCGTTAATTAATTATGATATAATTGACGATATAATTATGATATAATTATGATATAATTATGATATAATTATAATTTATAATATTTTTATTACTGGCATATTATATAATATAAAATTTAGTGCTTGTTCGATACAATTTTTACATACGTGTATTTTTTTAAATAAAATGATGATATAAAATTTTAAACATAAACTTTAAAATTACAGCCATATTTAAAAAAAAAATAAAAAAAAGATAAACTAGAATATGTATAAAGTCGTTTATCACATTCAATATCTATAAAAATTAAAGAAACATCATCTAATACGAGAAGTTCCATGATTTCTCGTAATTGTTAGTTTTAAAAATCTACATAAACTTATAGAATAATTAATTTAATTAATATTAATGCCTATTTTTCTCGTCTTAAATCAAAATAATTATAAAATAATACAAATTAAAATATTGAATACAATACTTTAAGAAAATTAATTATTGAATTTTTTCATTGAGCGACAAATAATACGGGATAAGCAGCGGAAATAAATTTCTAAAAAATCTAAAATTACGATAAATAAACTCTTATTAAATTAAGGACAAGGTAATTGTGCAATAACACAACAATGTGGTATATATAAATAATGTCTGTATAAATATGTACAAACATTAGTGTCTATAAATATATGTAAGAGAAGGAGTAAAAAATTTTAATAGAAAAGAAAACTAATATTCGCCAAAACTATTTATATTGTAATAATTTATGCAAACTATTAATATAATATAATATTGTAATATTTGACTATTACATTAGAATATCTTATATGTATTTTATATCAATTATTAAACTTGGTAATATTATTAATTAATAATCTATAGATGTGATAAAATATCACCCTACAAATCTACGAATTTCATCACATACATATGGAGGGGGGGGGGATTTATAAGTCAATAACTTTCCAATTAAATCCTTCAAAATTATATGTACTTGAAAATGCACATTCGTAAATTTCATTAAAAAAAAATAAAAATAAAACGAGGGAAAAAACATAAGCAAAATCTTAAATACATAAATGCGTCTCATAAGGTGTATCAAAGATGAAAAATAAAAATAAAATTTTTTACAATGAATCAATTTTAGTTCGGATCAATTTTATTGCAATTATATCTTGGATTTATATTGCATTAAATTTATTTTATACAAGTATATCTTCAATTTAAAATATATCCATATTCGCGGGTATTATTCATAGTCATCCTCCATGTGACTCATGTGTTCTAATTTATGTGTCCAGCGTGTGTATATAATTATGTAAATGCCTTATCGCTAAAAAAATTCATTAAAAATAATTCTCCCCGTACAATAAATAATAATAATAATAATATAAAATTAAAATGAAGAAGGACCGAATATATATAGAAATAATATCCACCTAATATTTCGTAGACTTTTCATAATGTCCGCTCAAAGCTTACGCATGTGCAATAATTTCTATTATTTTTCATGCTAAACAATTAATTTAAAAATTTTGAATGGAGTATAAGGAAACAACTAATCTACTTATAAGGAAAAATGTGGTCTATATGTTCGATAGCTATAAAATTATTAGCTTGTTTAAGTATGTGTTGAACAGACCGTTTATATATTAATTTTTTAAATAAAGTTAAAAGAAGTGTAATTTGATATAAAGAATCAAGCGATTTATAATTTTATAGTCTTATAACAGGACAGTACAATTGGAAAATCATCCTCCATCTATATTTTACGAAATTTTAATGTTCATAAACTGATGCGATAGTTGGCTAATTGGTCCATAGCCACTTTTACCTCATCATGTGCCACTCTCAAGGCAAATATCAGATTACACTTTTGTGTATGACGCACATAGTATTAAAAATTAAAAATGTGGAGAACGTAAATAAATTATCGAGCACAAAGAACTATAATAAATTATTAAGAAACTGGATGGAAAAGATAACGTTTTTTTTTTTAATGTTAAATATGATTTTTATTATTTTTAAAGTCGTAATGCTATAAATATAATATTTCAAACATTAAAATGTTTTTTACCTGACACAATATATTTAAGGAAGTATAATCTATTAATAAAGGAATAAAATACTTTATGCAGCCTTCGTGCAATAATGTTAAGATTTAGATACATATGATATCATAATAATAAGTAATTAGTTTGAGTTTTACTTCCTTTATTTTATTTCCTATTTAAGGCAACTACAAAATCAAAGTATCATAGGTTTCAATACATTATGCGGAGACCCTTGAATATCTATTTACATCCAGAGTTGTCGATCTTTTTAAAACTTAACCTACAATCCAAACTTATATGATATTCATTTGAAACCAATATGACGTTTTAGGAAGTAAGGTAGTTATTTGTAAATATATAATAAATGCATACATACAGATAGCATTCCTCTCTATTTCACCATTTTGAATTTGTTTTTCAAGCAGATAACAATTCTTTCTTTAGAGTGAACCTTCTAAAATGCTATACATTTAACGGCGACCATAAGCTATAACACAGAAATTGCAAAATCGACAAGAAAAGCAAAATAATTGAACGAACTTTTACCGGGAAAAATATATTTTTTTATTAATTTATAAAAATAAAAATAAATATGATTGTTATTTTAAACTTAAAATTTTATTTACTAAATACGTGATTTCTTTATTTAAAACGTTTTGACTTTTTGGTGTTAAAAAATATTCCTTACTGCATTTTTGTAACACAGGTTAGAATTTTAACTATATTTTATTGCTCTAAATATAAGCAAATTTTTAGCAATCAACATTTAAAATTTATTGTTTTCCAGTAAAATTATTTACTGATAATTTTTATAATAAACATGACTGTTCTTACATTCATAATACTTTTTGTTTGGGCTCCTATCCGAACACAACTATTAACTTCTTATGTTCATGCATGCATTTATATATATATAAATGCACATACCCACAAACTATGCATACGCACACAACATACACAAACATATAAGAAGCGGTTTCTCTTTATTCAAAATAGTTTATAGACTTTTAGAAAGTAATTGTAATAATTTACCGAAAACAATAAAAAAACGTTTATATTACAATAAAAATGAAATCATTTTGTAATAGATTTTATGAATAACGTCAGATACGAAAAGTATACAAATGTAACCTCGAAATATTTTGAATTTTACATTTTTTAAATGAATATAATTAATATTTGTTAAACATATTAAGATTATTTATTTCTTCAAATAAATATTTAAATATTTTATTTTACTTGAGTGATGTAATAAAATGAAATTATAATATATTTGATCATAAGATGAATCTAATCAATCTCATCTTAAAAATATTATTTCTTTTATTTATATAATTAAAAATAGTAATATTTGTTATATTTAATGTTAAACAGAAAATTTTAGTAAGTTAGTTATAAGTTTTATAATAAATATAATAAATCATCTTTTAAATGTAAATATATTTATACTTACAACAATAATTTATTATTAAAAATTTTAGTTTTTAGCTTATTAAATATATGAAAAGTATAAAATATTGCTAAAAATTCATAAATATTTTTCTTCTTATTAAATATAGTTCAATCTATATATTTTTATTTATTTTATTTATCAGATTTGCAATAATCAAATATATGACGACACTATTAAAAAGTTCTTTAAATGATTAAAAAATACAAGATGCCAAGACATGCAAGAGTGAAATATGATACCATTTTTGAAGTATTAAAAAATATGCCCATTTTTACTGAAAATGGTGAATTAAAAAAACAAAGAGACCCAGTGTGGAAAGAAGCCTGCAAAATTATGCCAGAAATAAATGTGCACAATTTGTATTTATTTGTATACCAAGATAGGAGACAAATAAAAACTAATTTGATGAAACACTTAAATATTGTAGGTGTACCACCAAAAAATAAGAAAGTAAAGAAAAAAGAACCTATAGAATATTATGATGATATTTGGGATAATTATGATTATTATGAAACGCTTGATAATGAAGATAATCAAGAAACTATACAAACTGATTTTAGTAGTTTGGTTAATTTAAAAACTAAGGAAGAATTTAAAAATAGTATACACAAAATAGGAATTTTACCTTTTTCTGTTCATTATTGGCATCCACAACAAGTTGCTCTTTGGACCGATCTAATAAATATTGAATCGACTGTGTCCTTTATTGCATTAAACAATGTTATTTCAAATATTACAGAATATCTTGAAACTGAGAATATATTATTATATGCCTTAACAGTGAAACTAGAAAATTCTATTATATTATTGGCTCAAATGATGAGTGATTCTACAAAGTCATCAGAACTACAGTGTTTTCTCAATAGTTGGTTGGAAACTGGTGCACCAGCTCCACAAGAAATAGTAATTGGTTATTCATACTCTATGTTAGATGCTGCATCATTAGCTTTTAACTTTTCTACATTTGATAATTATAATTTAAGGTATGTAATTATGAATACACTGTCAACTGTTTTATTAAAATATGTGTATATTATCATTTTATATTGAAAATGTAAAAAATATAATTAACATATTAAAAATCAAAATTGATATCTTATTTTAGAGAAAAAAATATTTTATCCTACTCTCTAATTATACTATAACGATAATATATACTTAAGTACAAAAGCACTATTTAACATATTTAGTGTAAGCAATTTTTCTAATAATTTAAATAAATAGTTTAAATATGGCTTATTTACTTTAGAAATTAATATTTTTCAAGGTGCTATGATTATTTAATAAATGAAACGTCAGAGTTACCATCTACATTAATTCAGATTGATGTAATTGGCTTAATCAAGGTTGTTGATTCATGGGCATGCTTTGAAAATATCCTACAACCAGTTAAAGACTTTTATCTATGTAGTATAATGTATTTGAGTACAATTGACAATTTAGATATATTCAGGGAAACCATCATAAGTATTTTAACTATGTGTCAAAGTCCTTTTCAAAATAAAGAGACAGAATCAAGAAGGGCAGCTTTGTGGGTACATTTAACTACGGATACTATTCAACAAATGAACCAACAGTATATTCAATATGTAATAGGAAAAAATGGAATAAAAAGCTTTTCTTTTTTGGATATACGACAAAATGCAGTAATCGATGATTCTTGTCCTCATAAAATATATGATTATATTAATCAGTTGAAAATGGAAGCATTTGAAAAATGTGATTTTAGTATGGATTTAGAAAAGACACCAAATGATTATTATTGTCCCATAGTTTTAGAAAATTTGATACAACTTTTAATAGAGTTTCCGTCATGGACCAAAATTATCAAGAAAAGTGAATGTTCCACTTTGGTTTCAGTATGTTCAACCGAACATTTATCTATGTTGACTGAAATAGTTGATCCTGTACATCCATCACTTTTCATGGTATATCATTTAGATAAAATAAGATCCTTAATGCAACTAGGAAAATACTTTATTAAAACTACAAAAGATAAAAATGAATTTTATAAAAGAGACTATAAAAATAATCATACCTACTTAACACAAACTATTTCTAATAATGGAAGTAAATTAGATAATAGAATTGAAATAAACATTCTTAATGAAAAATCAGAAGTAAATGATGAGATAGAATTAGATTTAATAACTTTTAAAAATACTATTCTGTCTACAATTCATAGTTTAATTGACTTTGATGAAAGTGTTAGAAATATTTTAAGAATGCAATTAAACGCTGAACAAGAAACTGTAATCTGTAAAATTTTTTTGGACTGCTGTGCACAAATGAAAACTTATGAAAAATTCTTTGGAATAATAGCTGGGGTAAGAGTAATAACAATCAATTTTTTAATAATAATGTAGTAAAAAATATTGGTATATGGCATTTAATTATTTTAAAAATATAATAATATTATAAATAACTAATCCATAATTTTCTTACAGAAATTTTGCTCAAGTAGTAATGCATTTGCTAATGCATTTGGACAAATTATTATAGAATGTTATAATACAGTCGAATTATTTGATAAGAATGAATTAAAAAATATCAGTAAATTATTTGCACATCTTTTGTTAACAGATACTATTTCATGGGAAATTTTATCTGTTTTAAAATTACATGAAAAGGAGCTGACAAGTGCTAAAAAGAATTTTATCAGAATTCTTCTTAGAGAATTATCCGAACATATGGGTGTTACAAAACTTCAAGAGAAATTCAGAAAGAAGTATAAGTTTACTTATTTTAATCTATTTTATTATTAGTCATATTGGTATATATATATATATATATATATTTATATTTATAATTCTTTCAGAATCAATACTCCAGCACTCCAAGGACTTTTTCCTAATAATACTACAAAAAATGCAAATTATGCCATACTTTTCTTCAAATCCATTGGTCTAAGATATTTAGGGTAATAATCATTAATTCCATTTATTTTAACCTTTCGTACAAATATGTTGTTTTTATATATAATATTGATTTTTATCCTGGAATCTCTTATAATGTATACTTGATTTTCTTATACTACTACCAATATTTTAACAAAGTATAATTAAGTTAAATTAAATCATTTATGAACCTCATATCGTAATTTATTGTTAATTTTTCTAAGGGATATATTGAAAGAAAATATGAAAGGAGAATCTTCAAAGCTAAAACGCTCCACAAGTAATTCAAGCATATCGTCTACAACTTCATCATGTGATTTTATTATAGAAGTCAGGTAAAAATTTGAATTTCTTTTTTGTAATCTCTTAAAAATTTGTCAATATAAATTATTAATATCTTTACTCTTTAGGGTTTCAAAGAAGAATGGTGATAAAAAGCAATTAAAAGATGAAAAAAAAAAAATTATTGTAATTAAATAATATAAGTAAAATTAAGTTTTAAAAAAAGAATTATCGTCAATGAACTCTTCATGTTAGAAATATAAATATTCTATTTTCTAAATCATGTTTACAGCGCTATACATTTTATTTTAAGAAGAAATTGTACAAAAATGATTTATTGTTTATTTTTATCAAGCTACTTATTCGATTTAAACTTTAATTTAGGGGATTAAAGTAAAACTAAGTTATTTAAAAAATACAAAAATAATAAAAAATTATAAATTCATTAGTAATTATTTTAATACTAAAAAAATTTGTTATAGACTTTTTTATGGAGATGCGTCATTTTCACAATTATGCTCAACATTTTATTTTTTTAATTAACTTCGTAAGATAGAGTATTTTCATAATAAAGTTCCTTTGAATAGTAAATATCCTTCAGTACTTCAATCAGAAGTAAACAACGAATTTACAATCAGTATTGATAAAAACAGTACGATTATATAAAATAAATATTTTAATTTGTTTCCAAAAATTTTTTGAATAATATAATAATAAATATTCATTATCTTATTATCTGAAGATTTATTCGAGATATAATATAATTTTAGTTAAAATCTTATATCATAACTACAAAATAAAATAACATTCTTTTTTAATTCTATCATATTATTTTACTATTTTCTGTTGTTTAATAATTAATGATTAATAATGTATTAAGTATTCAAAATCAGTAATTATTGAAAAATATAATCACAATTGCACTAAACTATTATAATACAATGAATTAATTAACTTTTCATAATTATTAATGTATTCAATTACATTTTTCTATCGATATTTAATCTTTCACTATAATATAATTGAATTATTCTATTATATTTTTGCACAATTATCCAACATTTTAGTTGGGAAATGAAGGAATTTAAAGCAATACATTTTACCAATGTAAAATAACAAAAACTATAACCGTTTTTACATTCAATCGGAAAATTATTCTTGAGGTTTTACTAAATATATAAAATGAAATAATTGCTAAAATATATGCTTGCAATTATAGGCGAAATTAAAATTAAACGAAGGCATGAAAAATATTTTTAAATAATGAACATTTACCAATGAAATATCAATTTTTAGGATTTTTTTCTTTGGAATTATACTATAATATATGCAAGAAGACCCTATCACTTCATCAAATGTGTAGATACGTTTTCAAAATCTTCAAGTTATGGCTTCAAAACAGACTTATTTATAACTTTATAAAAACATGTAATCAAATTATTATAATTACTTGCAGTTTTATTATTTTTCTTACTTCTATGCACATGACTGCTCCAAACACTTGGTTCATTACTAATTATAAACGATACTCTATAATTTTTCTTACGAGCCAGCAGAATAACCATACGTTGCCTATTATAGTTATGATTGATAAAACTCGTATATTGAAAATTGAAGTAGCAAAATAAGTGATTATTCAGATAAGTTTTGCTCTTAAATAAATAAATATATATATATATATATATATATATATATTCACACACATGCATACATGAATATGCATTTGGATATAAATATATAACTAAATAGCTAAAGATCTATCTGAATTCATTAGCTTGCAAAATACGTAAATATCTTTTGTCAAGCTTCAAAAGTCTTATTACAAATATCGATTGTTTATTAAATAAGATTCTTTTTTATAATATTGATTTTCAAGCCCCGTACAACACTTTATTAAATTAGTCATTATTATCTCGGAATTTAGATTGAATTACGCGCTTAAGCATATCAATTCGACATACTATAATACGCGTGCATATACGTATTTTTCATTATTACATCACGACCGTCTATTGTTGCATGCGTAACAATTGCTAGCTCTGAATTGAATTTCTCGAGTACTTCCTATAATGTGTATCAATCTTTAAACATTAATAGCGATCGAAATATTTTCAAATTTTCATTGTAAAGCACACTACGCACTTGTCTTCGCTATCTTTTTTTTCAATGCATAGTTGCCTTTATACTACTACACCGTCAGAGGCGGATTTTTAATACTGTACACATGGAACATCATTGCATTTTTTTAAATGTATGTTAAATATAGGTTAAGTTCGCTTATTTTCTGCTTATATTGAATTTCTGAATCTGACTTCTAAATAAATAATGTTTTGCTTAAAAGAGTAACAAACGTGTAGTGTCATATTTAAAAATTTAAATAGATAGGGGAAGTAATGCTGTACAAAATTTCTGCTACAAGTGCAGAAAATTTATGAACGTTTAAAATTAAAATGAAAAATAAAAAATATGCAGATGCACAAATTGAAAATGGAGTTAAATTGAAAAGAAATAGATTTTCCATTTCTTCCGAAAGAGCTTCTTCAATTTCCGCTAAACCTAAAATCAACAAATTAGTAATGAAATCACACGCAAAAATTAACACCAAATGTAAAGAAAATCAGGTATTAGAAAAATGCCTTAAACAAAATATTGCCAATATATCAGAGTTTACAATAATAACACCTCAAGTAAGTCTTATATCTCCCATTGCAGATGATGAACCAAGTACAAGTAAGTATCTGAAAGAATATTTAATTTTTTTAATAATATACATTGTAATAAACTAATCGACTTGAAATAATATTTATTAAAATATACTTTTTATAACATTAATTTAAAATAACAAATAAACCTTTGGAATAAATAAATAAATATTTGAAATTTTTGGAACAAATAAATATTTGGAATACATAAGGATTGTATCATTGTTTCTATCTAAATTTATAATTGCAGGTAAATCGTTAGATATAGAATTGGAATTTCCAGTTACTCCTTTAGAACATGCAATAAACGAGGACCTTGATACAAAAAGTTTGCCAATAATTGTTAAAGCTAATCTTAAAAAATCATCAAGTTACTATATTCCAAAAGTTTTAAAATGCGAGAAGGAAATCAAAAAAGAATCTGAAAAAACTGTAAAAGAAAAATCTGAAAAAACTGTAAAAGAAACATCTAATCTGAAAAAACTGTAAAGTAAAAGAAAAATCTGAAAAAACTGTAAAAGAAACATCTGAAAGTGTAAAAACTATCGATATAGCAGATTTCAATTCTAATAATTCGATGGTATTTACGCAAAATTTACATTGTAATATTCCAAAAGCATTACAGGACTTTTATAATGAAATTACTGAAGAAATTGAGCCAAAAACAGAGGAATCGTCGCAAGTTAATAAAAATTTAGAAAAAACATCTGAATCAATTGTGAATACATCGGATAGGTATTCTAATCATTTGATGGATATTGCATCAACGAATACAGCTTCCCTAGAAAATCTGTCTTTGATAAATCAAAAACATATAATACAGTTTTTTTCGTTAGAAAATAAAGTTATTGTAATACTTAGCCCCAGTGCTAAATTTTCGTTTCTAGGAAAACTAAAATTACAAGTATTATATGGCGCTGTTCAACTTTATGGTGCTATATTTAGTTCTCAAAATACAATGAAACCAGTAGAAATTTATTCACCTAGAGGATACAGTTCCATTGATATTTCAATTTTTGATTTAGATAAAACATATGATAAAGAAGCCTTATGGGATGCTTTAACAATTGAAGGTGTTGACAGATCTTTATTTACTACGTTACACAGTGCTATTAATGCATGCAAACGTGGATGGTCAGTTATTTTATTACAAAATTTAACAAATACTTTAACCAATTTTTTAAACAAATTCTACAAATTTAAACTATTTCCAAAAGTAGAAAATATGTGGTATTCATGGAATGATCCAAGAAGAGCTGAATATGTATTACAAGCTAATTTCCAATGTGATAATTCACAGAAGGAAATATCAATTTGTCCTCAATGGAACACAACTATAACCGAACAGCTAGTAAATCAGTGGAATAGTACTAAAGCCTTCTGTACAATAATTGTTGGTGGTAAAAGTGTTGGCAAGTCCACAACAGTTCGTTATTTGATTAACAACTTATTAAGACATTCGAAGAAGGTAATACTTCTTGATCTAGATCCAGGACAAACTGAAATGACACCAGCAGCTTCTGTATCGTTAAATGTTTTAGATGAACCATTGTTGGGACCAAATTTTACACACGTTAAAAAACCATTTTATCAATTATATATAGAAGATATAAGTGTTGAAAATTCTATATCTCGATACATTATATGTATTAAGAAAATGCTTCGACATCTCAAGAATAATAAAGATCTTAGTCAGTATCCTGTTGTTGTAAATACAATGGGATTTTGCAAAGGAATTGGACTTGACATTTGTATTATCCTTATAAAACTAATTGAACCAACCAATGTCATACAAATTCAATCAAGCAGAACAATAAATAATTTTAAATTTTCATTAACAAAGCAAATTATTAATAAATATGTGGGTATTTTAGTTTTTTTAACATACTTTTTATTTATATTTTTGTAAAATCATATAGAATGGTTATTTAAAATTCATTAAAATTTTGTTATTTCTGGCATGAATATTTTTTATAATTTAACTATAATACTTTTATTATCTTAAAAATTAATTTAACTTAACTAATGGCTGGCAATTTAAATAATTTTAAAATTTAAAAACAAGTATAAATGATACTTCAGTTTAATTTAAATTGTTTTTAAATGTTTTCGATTTTTAGAAAACAGCTAACAGATTATGGATTAATGATGATGAAGTAATGAATAAAGTTTGTAATTATAAATGGCATTGTACATTTTCCAAAGCTGAAGGAAAAAGACAATTTAATAATTGGAATATTGAACCGCGACAGCAACGCGAGCTTATGTTACTTGCATATCTTAGTCAAATTATGGAAAACGCTGATAAACAGTACCGTTTTAATTATAATTTTAATAATAATAATAATAATAATTAATATATTAAATATATAATTTAATTTATTTTATAGGTTTTTAAATTATACATGGACCAAAATCACTGATATAATTCCATATAAGTTGGTGTTATTTATAATTTATACGATATATGCATTTATTTAAGATTAAATATAATTAAAAACCTTTTACAGATTACCATTTTCAGCTTTTTGTATATCTTTACAAAAATCAAGCGTCGCATCAACTCATATACTTGCAGCTATGAATGGAAACATCATCGCTTTATGCGGAGTTGACTTGGACAATTATACTTCTACAAATTATAAAAATTCTTCAATTTATCCAAAGGTTCTAATGGAACCACCACCATACACGTGTTATGGATATGGTAAACTTATACATTTATATATACTTATACAATTATTATAGTTCATATTTATCTACTGAAATTGTACTGATTTATTAATTTTTAATTAGTTAAAATACTTTAAAGTTTAGAAAAATATTTTTACTTCAATTTTTTATATTTTTTTATTGTACTTATTTTGAAAAATTTGCACTGTTTAATAATAATATTTAATCATTTTAATCAACTCATATATTTTAATATTATAATTTTTAAAACATTTTCATATCATCCACTATTACTATCAACAATATCAGCAAGAAATAGTATAATAATACGCTAATCAAACTATGATCCTAAAGATTACTTTGACCGAACATAATCTACAAATAGTAATTGCATGAAAAGAAGTTACTTAAGTTAGGCATTTTCAATTTTATTTTACGCCAGTTAGATAGTATTATTATAATATAAAGCAATGTACGTGAATAATAATAATTATTTAAGAAAAACAAAACAAAACAAAAAAACTAGAATATTTTTTGTACAATAATAGAAAATAAATAAGTAGTTATTGCAAATACATTTCTAAATGGTATATGGGAGCTATAGAAAAAACCCAAGACAGTGTGCAGCGTACAATTTTATATCACGATTAATGAACTTGCTGAAGCAATTGAAGCCACCCTCGGCTTGTAATAATGTACCTAAATCCTTATAAGAAAATCCCTGTAACTGTCCAGGTATTGTACGCGGCGTCAACCTGAAGCAACGTTGCATCGAGTCAGAGCTGCAACAGGTAAATCTGTTGGCGGGGTGTATGACGATGCCATTCGCATTGCAATGCTCTGATAAACCAACGGGCATCCCGTACGCAGGCAATCAGGGTGGACTGCCAACGAGTCGAGAAGCGCGTCGCGGCTACTACCGCAGCAACCAAACAAAATTCGTCAACCACTAATAATATATTTACAACAGCTATGAGACTTCTCATTTTTGACCAGTCGACTTAAATTGAATTGCAAACCATATTCATTTGATCAATTATCCCGTTGTATCGCGAAATTCTTTCATCGTTTAAAGATGAAGCAGCTTCGTAACTTCGGTCCCGATGCAACAGTATAAGCTATAACGTTACGTACAATACAAATTTGGAGATGCTTATAGAATGTCCGCAATCTATGTAAATGAAATTATGTCAATATATTGTAAAGAAATAACATTTTATTTTAATAAACAATTGTTGTTGTGAGAAAAAATCATCTTATATATCGTCATTTTAATATTTCATTTTCAATTTCTGAGATCTGATTTCTCTCAGAATTCTATGTATGGAGGAAGAACAAGTAAGTGTGTTGAATCTAAATGAGAAATTTATTAAGTACGTAAACATTACAGTGACTCGAAATATTGAATCCGTATAACGTGACACAACCAACATTGACGACGAATTGTAGCTTAATATTATTCAAACAAGTTTCAATTGAATTTATTCATTTTTTTTTTTAATAATAATTTAAACATAAATGTACATTAATTTGTAATACATTAATAACCTTAAACTTAATTTAATTAGTGTATATTTTCAATTTTCTACAACTACATAAAAAGACTTATATTTCAAAAGTTCATATATCGATATCTTTTATTAACAAATATATGTATATGTATAAATGTTATTACATATTATATACAACATGCTTATTGTTTTTAATATATGATTTTAATTACAACATGCTTAATCGATAAAAAAACAAGAGTATTTGTAAATAATAATTAATGTATAAAATTGTAAAGAATTAATATATATAAATGCATATATCACCCTTCATTCATTTATATAAAGTTTAATAAATAATATAAAATATTTTATATAAAATATTTTATATTATTTACAAAATGATCGCTTCAATATTATCACAATTTAAATCTGAATATTAAGGCAAAATCTTTGGTGAACGTTTTATAAAGTGTAATTATTTTTCAAAATTAACCTTTCTCTTTCAATGCAAGCAACTAATAAAAAAAAAAAAAAATATATATATATATATATAAACTGTAATGCGGACGTAAAATAATACAAATAATAAAATTAAAAAAAGAATTATAACTATTCAGCATGTATATAAAAAATACTATCTTATATATGAAATCAAATTATTTTAAGATTTCATATCATGCCAATGTTCTTTCTAATTTGAATATACTTTTTAGAAGATTTTCTAACATCTTAAAATATTCTTAAAAAAACGTATAATTATTAAAAGTTTCCTCTGAAAATATTTCAAGTAGTTCACCAACTTCTATTATTCTTTTATCTAAGATTACAAATAAAATACAGGACGAAGAATGGCAGTAAGAGTCTGTACGCTCCATGCTTTACCGATGAGTTGGAGTCTTCGCGTTTTTTGGAGATTAGCATCCGTGTAATGCATGGGGAAGCCGAATATTTCCTCGAGCTCCGTTACCCATAGTCCGTCTTTCTTGCCATCCATTAGCACTGGCTTCAAATTTTCTTTAGCTATATATTGAATGCAATAATTTGTTAAGAAAATACTCGATTGAAAACACAAATTATGATAATGAAATGATATAATTTCATTTTTTTTCAATATTTTTGTTTATTGTTGCAACAGTGTTGAAGTACAATGCTCGAAAATTTTAATGCTTTTTAAAATTATAATTTTAATATTATTAAGGTACTTTTTTTTCAAATTTAACCCGCTTCTGCATTGAAGCAAATATTCTTGAGAATTTTAAATTTTCATCGCCCTTATGTCAGAAGGTTATTTAATAGAATGGTCGATTGTAAACAATTTGAAGACTTACGATATATTAATAAAATTCAAAACATTCATTTTAATATACTTGAATATTTTATGAAGGTATAATTTTAATTAAATATATAAAAATTAATTATATCTTAGGAACCTTATATTCAAAATTTTAATTTTAACGTCATTTAAAATTAAACGCATTAAAAATATTGTTTATAATTGACAAATTTAATAGCATAAAAATCACTCTTATACTTTATTTAATATTTATAATTTCTTTTAATTCGTCTTTAAGTTTTGTAAAACACACTGTAAAAAACTGCACATTATTAAATATGTTTAAAGTCAAACTTCACGCGCATGATATAAAAAATCAATTTATCCTAATTTAAAAGATAATTAACGGTAAAAAAGAATTTATTATTATGATCTCACTTTGGTTTAACGAGTTCGTCCTCGTAGTAACTGTCATTATTTTCTTTACAAGTGCCTGTCGATTACATTGCTTTCTTAAAACGTCTTGTAAAATCACATCATTAATTTGGTATGGACCCCAGGGTAGGTTTCCCCAGTATAATCTGGGCCTATGCTGTGCAGAAAAGTCCGCAGAATCTAAAAATTTCGGTTCACGTCCCAAATTTCTAAAATCAAATATAATTATTTAATTGTTAAAAGCAATAAGAAATATACAATATTATTATAAAACGATTTAAATCTAGGTCGCGTTCGAATTCCCAAGACATTATATAAAAAATTCGTGTTATTTAAGACTATAAAATTACTCGCTAATTTGGATCCTAAATTTCTTTGGCATTGAAGCAACATTTTCAAAAAGCCAAAACAAATGACATTTCTTGTTGTATTTCTTCACAAGCTTCTTAATTCGGCAATAATCATAGAAAAGTATACCTGTTCCTTCTGGATCTAAATTTTAAATATAAAAATTACTTGTGAAACGCTTGTGAACTAAACAATATTTTCTTAAGATAAATAATTACCATCTAACCCTCGTCTTTTGGGATTTGCCAAGCTTAATTCGTTACAGGGCGACCCACCAATTAACAAATCGATAGGAGCAATTTCTTTAATTTTTTTCTCATCTATATCTCTGACGTCACCTAACTGTACAACTTCATTGCCATGATTAAAAAAGGTGACTTGTATTGAATCAGGATCTATTTCACTTGCATAATAGCACTCGACATTTACATTCAACTTTTTTAATACAGTCAGTCCTATAAAGATTATTCAGATGATTAAATACTCAATTTATAAACGATATAACTTTATAAACAAAAAATATTTTTAATATATTCTTTATATACTTTTGATTCAGGAATAACAATCGATATAAATAATTGTTCATCAGATTTTAATAAATAATTAATGCATTTAATCAAATATGAAAGAAAACTTACCAAACCTACATTATTACTATTAAACTTTTATTATTTATTAAAAATAGATTATGTTAATTTATACGAAAAAATATATACCATTTTTTCCCTCTCATACCTTATTAAATGTAAGTGTATTTGCATTGTCACACTTGATATGTAATATATATTATTTCAAAATCTAGAAATGTCTATAATTAACTTCAACTGTTTTTATTATAAGTTTAATTTCATTAATTATTTTTTTAGCTTTCTTCTTACCTTTACATATTGAAATTTTAATGGGTAATAATTTTGTAATTTACTTGCATTTAAACAAATAAACTACAGTTATAAATAAAGTATCTACTTCAATTTTTTATATATAATTTTCTTATTATTAGATTGATTTAAACGTATACTCATCGTGAGAGTATCTTTTGCTTCAATTCAAGAATTCAATAGACACTTATTGGTTTTAACGTACCAGTTCCAATCCCATCAAACAACGATAAGACTCTTATTTTTCTATTCCGATCGAGACGCTCTAAATTGGAAAGCGATTTGTCATCGCAATTTAATCGGTAAATGGAAATTATTCGTTTTCTCCAATCACAGCGAATTTTCATTACACTGTCTTTAAATGATACCGAATCAGGATCGCAAAGAAAACAGTACCAAGGATGCTTCAATAAAATTTCTTCGTAAAAATCTGGGCAAATGATATATTTAATGCAAGCAGTACAAAATACTCTAAAAAATAAATAAATAAAATAAAAATTATCTTGGCGCATACATATTATAATTATTAACTGTTCTATATTAAAATAGTAATATGCAAAAGAAATTTCTGACTACACAAAACCACATTATTTCCTTATTATTATCAATGGTTCAAATATATATATATATATATATATATAATATTTATCATGGCATGTTTTGTTTTTTATTAATAATAAGATTGTAATAAAACAAAAATTAATTTTTAAAAAATTGTAAATATTAAATAAATTTAGATAAATTGAATTTCAATTAGTACTCACGAAAAACAATTTCCATATATTTTTTTAACCTTTCTCATATACATTTAATTGTATGGATTTTTCATAAATATTATTATTAAAAAAATTAAATGCCTTAACGTGTCATTAATTGTATTATAATACACCATAAGTTTATTCAAATACGTTAAAATTACCTTGGGCAATTCATACTGTCACACATTGCAACCAAATCTTCACCACCGCATAGAGTACAATAAAACTATAAAATATACCCATTAAAATGTTATTAATTTAAGACAAAATAAATTAATAAAATAAAAATAAAAAACTCACGCATTTACTATCATTTCCATAAGCAAAAACTTTCGGTCTAAACTCTTCCTAGAATTTTTTTTTCACGAAATATTAAAAATAAATAAAGATTAAAATAGAAACATTTTAATATATTTTTTAATAAATAGGAAAAATAATATTTACCAAGCATTTATTGCACATTGATGCGTAAAAGAATGGATGCTCTTCTAATTCATCATTAGATTCAAAACAGGTTATACATAAGGAATCTAAAGGGCATTTTTTTGAAAGCACGAGTTTTAAATTTTCTACAATTTAAAATATTTTAATTTATATATATATATATATATATATATATATATATATATATATATATATATATATATATATATATATACATATATATACATCGTAAAATAATGTTATTAGGGAAACAGTATAAAATCATTTCAAAATTCAATGTGCTTAAAATTGTCAATTTTTACATACTACAATTTAATATTTGCCGTTTTCTTTCCTCACTCACAGGCTGATTATTAATCTGTTTTCTCAATTGCTTTTTGATAGTTTGAGAATAGAGATCCTCATCGTTTGGTTCATTGGATAATATATTTTTTAACTTAAATCTATCTTTCGATTTGTAAAAAAGACTAATAACATCGTTTATTTTCCACGGCTCTGTCAAATATCCCAATTTCTCACAGTAGTCCTATAAATTTCCAATCATCATACTTTAAATTTTAAGCATCGTTATATTTACTAAAATAATAATATATTACTTTGGATGCTTGAAGAACTGCTTTGCAGAATAGATCATCCTTCATTGTCTGAATTTTATTCTCCATTTTTTCCATACCCATTGAAAATACAAGTATTTGTCTGTATTCAACCTAAATGTAAATAGCATGATATTATTGTAAATGCAATAAATTAATCTTATTTATATTTTCGAGCACATAAAAATATTACTTGAGAATACTTGTAATCTCCATACCACATAACCCATTGATGTGCCACGTGGGGTTGCTTTCGATTCAAATGCTGATAATTCATAATAACACCTATGCAATTTTAAAAGGTTAAGCTAATTGAAAAAGGAACATGAATAAATTATGATTTAAATATATATTTATTTCAATTCATATATTACATGGCCACAAACTATAGCCTGGCATTTTAGCCCATACAATCATTCCTGGTTTTTGATCTATAATATTTATTCCACCTTCATCAACAGGTTTTTCAATTTTCTCAATTCTTTTCATTGAACTCTTAGTTTCCGTTGCCTTACTCAATCCTATATATATAATAAATAATGTCTTTGAATTCATTACAATTATAAATGATAGTATAAAAATTTATTCATTATATTAGAATATAAATTATAGATTATACAGAATATAGAATATAGAATATAGAATATAGAAGATATATAGAATATTATTTAAAAGACTTCATTAAAATAATTAAATAATGTTGATTCGTTTTTATTCTATATTATAACAATTTATACAGATAATTTATTATAACAAGATTCGCTTATTATTATTATTATTATTATTGTTTTTGTTGTTGTTGTTATTATTGTTATTGATGTTATCGTTAAAATTAGTATTAGCATTATAATCGTTTTAAATATATAATTCATTTTGTAATTAAAAGATAATGGAAAGTAATCAAATTAATAGCGTTTGATGCCAAAAAATATTCTAAAAACGTAAATGTTTAAATGCTTACTTTCTTTTTCTTTCTGACGTAAGTATTTTTCATTTTTTTCAAAATTTACATGCTTCAAATTGCTTAATCTTTCTGAAAGACTTTCTGGATACGGATAAAAAAGTAGTTCATCCACTAGAAATAAGTATTATTTAGAAATTCATAAATTTCATTCTTACATAATAATAGTATTGAATTATTTTCACTATTACAATACAGAAGCTATTTTTATTTTGTTTTTTTTTTAAGTTAATTACTTACGCTTATCTTTATGAGGAACAATATTGTTTTTTATCCATGAAATATATGGTCTTACTAAAGCTCCACTATTAAAATGTTTCCTTAATAACTTTAAATAGTATTTAATTAATTTTATTTTCCATGCTATTCATTGGCTATAATAAATTAAATATTTTATAAAATTATTTATAAAAATTACCTGAATAGTTTTTAAGCATGCAACTTCCCTTTGCTTCTTGCTTGTTGCTTTGATTTTTGACTTAGTTGCTAAATTATTTAATCGTATGTCTAACTTACTCGAAAATAAATCCACATTTTTTATAGGTAACTGTAATATTATGATTAATTGATAATAAACTAAGGCATAGCTTGTCAATATTCTAAGATTTTAATTGCAGAAAAACATTGATTTTAAATTTTTATAAAAATATTTATAAAATATTCTTTACCAATTTTTAAGAAAAGGTTTTTGGAATGTACGTATAGTTTAATAATTAATACATTACATAAATATGACCGATAAAAAATAAAAAATTTTTATAATTATTTAGAAAAAAAAATTGTAATTTTATATAAAATTTGAATTAAAATTGGAACTGACAGATTTTTCAAATATATTGAAAAATAAAACAAAAAACCAAAGAGGATGATGAAACATTACTTAATAGTTTATTTTTTTAAGCACTCAGTACATAAAATAACAGTTATGAAATTGAGCATATGAAAAATATTTTGTGGAAAAATTCATATGGTTCAGTATTTTATATATACATTTATTTTCCAAAAATAAAGATATAAAGAATTATTTTTAAATTAATTATATGTGAATATTAATGATAAATTATAATAGATAAATATAGATTTTTTGTACAAACTCAAGTTTCATTCACTTTTTCAATAATAATGAATATTTTTTTATCATTTGTAAGTGTTTATATCACTTATACATTAAACTAAAGTTTTTTATGTTTTTATACCTCCGAAATAAGTGATTCACCAACCCAAGAAACCCAAATTTTTCCAGCTGTAGAAATCATTCCAGCGTCTTCGGCTTTAATAATAATTGCTGTCGACAAGTAAAATTAAAGAAATATAATATATAAAATATATAATATATAAAAAATATTAATAGATAAAAAAAGGAATAATAATTTCAAATTATTATTTCTTATATAAATTCAGATACATACTCAAGTTTTAAGGTATCTTGAAATCAGATCCATCTTTAGAAAATTTTTATTAAATGTATTTTTAGAAATCAAATTTTATAAATATCACACTTCATAGTTTTTACATTTCATAAATAATTACAGTAATATTTTCAAAAGATTTTTGGGATTTTGAAATTATTACAACTTTCATTTATAACATTCCCAAAATATTATTAGTGTTAGAGGTCCTGTTCTTATTTAACTGCAGTAAAACCATTTTGCAACAATAATGTATAACTAGATTAAATGTAATTTTTTTTTAAATGTTATATGCATTATAATCTTTACACATTTCATTCAGTTATATATTAAGATATTCATTTGAAAGTTTTTTTTAGCGTGCATATCGTACTCATTCAAAGATAATAACGCTGTTGTTACATAAAAAATTAAGTTAACTTTATTAAGAAGCCAGTAGTATTTGTTTTATTCCAACCATTTATTATTTTTTATTGAAAATATTCTTCCAATTTAAAAATAATAATTTTTCAAATAAATGTATAAGCAACGGTCTATGACTTTTACAAAAATCTTCTTGGATAGTATATAAAACAAATACTTATATCTTATATTAAAGATATTATTTCATTAAGCAAATAAAGACAATTATCAATGTATTAAAAGAGTTGGTAATTATTGAAAATAGTTATTAAAAACATATGTTGCATGAAAATATTGATATGAAAAAATAATTTTCAACATGTTTTCACATTTATATGAAATGTTCTTTGATAAATAATAATTACAACATTAACTAGGTATGAAAAAAAAACTTACCAGGCCACCATCCACTTCTGAAATATCCCCAGACCAACTTTCCTGGAGTATTATTTATATGTTTTGCCGGTATAGGAACATTATTTTTCACCAAAAGTCTCGTCACTCTTCTAGATTGTTCGAATTCGCCTTCGATTATCGGTGATGCTTCGCTGACGAAAACCTCTCTACTTTTTCTTGAAACAAAGTACTTCTTCTTTGGAACTTCATTATAATCTTGACAATTTTTACCACATTTTAAAGTAGATGAATTTGTAATTTTAGGAAGTGATATTGAATCAATTTCAGAATTTAATTTTTTGCTATACTCAAAACTTAATTTTCTATAATTGCTCTTATAACAGCTTTCTATTGAGACGTTATACTCTTCATCTGGTGGATTAAGGCAGTCATCGGCAGAAACTCCTTTGACACATGTTGTTAAGTCTGTCAGAATCATGTTATTTTTAACGAAACTACCTTCATTTTCTGTAAAAACTGAGTTTGAACTTTCGATACCGCTATCGTCTGTTGTAAACGAGGAAAACCTATCTTGATGTTCATTGTATGAGGAAGTTTTTGATGTATTTATATCAAAATATTTCTTATTATTATGAGCTATTTCCCCTTGTGTATTATTGCTGTGCCTCACTTCTATTGCGTCACTAATATTATCATTATCATTTTTATTCAATCTTCCGCTCTGTTTATAGTTTTGTGTATCTAGTAATACAAAGTTTACGTCTGTTGTATTTTTATTAATTAGTTCTTTCTTTATATCTAATTTTGAATTTTCAATTTCTTCAACACGCTGTTTCTCATGAGTCTCGGCAATATTATTGTTTGAATTATTGTGTTCGCAATAATTACTGTCATTTGAAATATCGTTAAATAACTCCGTAGCTATTAACTCCATCCAAATACTATTAGACCAATAATTTTTACTAGTAATCTTCTTTTGGACCTAGAATAAAATTTTAATGAAAAAAATAATAATTAATTCAAAGTCAATTTTACTCGAATAATTATTTATAATATAATTTTGCGAAATGTAAACTTGTATAATGATTATTACATGATTTATTCGAGAGAATGTACAATTCTATACAATAAGGAAATGAAAAGTAATTAAAACCAATTAGCTTTTAAAAATAAAAACAGTTGGCTAAAAACATTCATTAAATTTGGTTTGCTAAAATAGTTGAAAAGTGTCGATATATCGATTTATTAATTTTTTGTTGAATTTTGTTGAAAAAAAATATGGTTACTAGACAATAATCATTTATTAATTAAATATTAGTCGAGAATAATTGGAATTAAAAATCAATAGAATCTTGACACTGGATAACCCATGTAACGAGAATGTAGGAAACTGTATTACCGGTATTGATGATATTACTTACAAAATTCATATAATATACTTTGTATACAACATAATATAACAATTTTTAGCTCAATGTGTATTCAATATGTAAAATAAAATTATACTAAATCATTTATTTTTAGTACGCATTTAATTCGCTTAATACAATAAAGCGAAATTTGTTACATATTTATACAATATTCCATAATTCAGAATTACTATTTTCACAATAAGTAAGCGATAATAGTATAGACAATATTTTTATTAAAAATATTAGTAAATGACACCTTATTTTAGAAAATATTTTTTAATTTTGATGGACGGCCATAGAGGGCAGTTAAAGCAAAGACTCTTCCATTTAAACAATTCATCCTCAAACAATCTATTCACCTATCCATTGACATACAATTGAAGATAATTGATTAACATTCACGTTTAAGCTTATTTATTTTCAATGTTGTTTAAAAGTAACGGAGAAGTTCATCCAAAAAAATCAAATTTATTTGAATTGTTAATAATGATTATAATATAATTTATAAAAAACGTTGAGTTGTATAGCAATAAAGTTGCTACGTTGAAATGAAATAATTTAAATTATAACTAAGCAAACATATCCAACATTTTATTTATTCGTTTTGAAATATATTTAAAAATTAATAAAAATATTGATAATGCTATTAATATATATTCTACAATCACAAAAAAGTAAAATTTACGAATACAAATAAATTTATATTTAATGATTATTTGCGAATTTCCAAACTTTCGTATAATTTAATTTAAGATTTACAGTTAAACACAATTACACTTAAGTGTAATTTTAAAAAATATTATAAACTATCGTTTCATTATATATGAATATAATATGTAATGAAATTTAAGATTTTTTATTATTATTTACAAAGTTCAATTTGCCTGATATCCGTCTTTTGTAAGATTCGACAAATATAATCATTCATCTTGATCTACTTTCATTGTAAACTAGAAATCTGAACAGTCGAATAATTGAAATTCTGTCTAGCTAAATTTAAAAATTTTCATAAAAAAATAATAAAACCAACGTGTGATTTTTTAATTAAAAATATTTCTTAATACAAAGTTTTACTTTTAACTTTAATTTTAACTGAAAATATACTAAATTGTAGATTTGCAAAACTAAGATAAAAAGTAATTTTTAGGATTTAGTTTTTTAATTATAGAAAATTATATACCCGATTTTAAATTCTAAACTATATTGAAATCATGAGCGATTACAAAATAATTTACAATATTTTTAAGTTCCATTGAATATTATGAATTAAATCAATTGATTAAATCTAAGTTCTATGCGATATTATATACGTGCGATTTAATTTGAAATTAATTTGGAACGTAGTTATAGATTTATTATTGATATTTATAAATATCGTTTTTGGTATGAATAATTAAATTCTAATTAGTTCTATTAGTAAAATTAAATTTTATCAGTAAAATGAATCTATAATTTTCTATTAAGCAAAAAATCAATATTTGCTTATAGAATAAAAATCTTGAATCAATTAAAAATATCAAATAAAAACAATAGTTACCCATAGGATAATCGATTGAATCGATTGTAGTCATGTAAATTAATATAAGAAAATCCATAAATATATAAACATTAATTAAAAATACATCGTTTGGCCTTGATTTACTTTTAAGCTACTTGCATATAATTAGAAAAAGGGTCAAAGGTCACCGGTTTGCTGTACGCAAAAAGCCGACTTTTTTTCTTCCCTTTTTTATGATTCCACTTTTTCTCTCCCTTCCGTATCTATATAAAACTCATACCTATACTGAGTCTACAGTCTATCTCTTTCCGCCTCTCACTCCCTTTATGAAAACTTTATAAAAGGGGGATGAGAAAGCGGGTGCAAGGCTCGAGAAAAGTTGTACCGTACGTTTCTATCTACCTTCCCACCTCTCTCTCTCTCTCTCTCTCTCTCTCTCTCTCTCTCTCTTTCTCTCTCTTTCGGATGAATGAAACTGTTGCAATGCGTTTCATGCTTATTGTATTTACAATCGCGCGCAAACGCTCATTCATAAAGTTAATTCTCGCTCGTTCCCTGACTCGTTCCACTCTTCCTTTCAAATATAAGTCTTTTGGTCTCGGTTATTCTCCTAGTTATTGCATTTACCATGATTTTTAACGCTCCTTTTAATCTTTAAATCCGCAAATTTTCGGCTATAACTTATTTTGAATTAAATTTTCAACGTCGAAAAGATAACAATATGAAAATGTCATTATTATTTGAATAACAGTTTCTTCAAATTTTTTAATTAATTTTAACGTATTACATATTAGAATCTTTAACTTGCTAATAACATTATTTTGTATCTATGGATAATATGAAACTTGTTAATATCTAAAGAAATATTTGTCTATATATATAATATTTCAATCGTTACCTTTAAAACAATTCTAATAATTTTAACAGAACAAATCAAATAGTGACGCATTAACTTAACTTAAAGTTTTAATTTATATTCACTTGATTTACCTAAATTGAAGATTAAATATTACGTTTGTGTAAATAAATATCATTTATTCATTAAAACAACTTATTGATTACAGAATTTGTATTTATATGAATCAAATCAAATGAACCATATTTTGATTAAACAAAATTTTGGCTATGACAAAAATAATCTTTTTCTTATTAATTCATAAGTATTAGATTGAAATTAATTAATAAAAAGTAAAATGATTTGAAGATTAAATGTATTTGTTTTTATTATATATTTGTAAGATATGTTATTACTCATATAAGTCGTTACTAAAATAAACAATAAAAATCTAAAAATTGAATTTGAATTTTTATAACAGTGAAACATACTTTCTAATATATTCTTCATGGAGAAACTATAAATTCTTACTAATTATTGTTATATATTTCTTTATTAAGAAACATGTAAAAATCTTAAAATTTTAATTAATAATATTGTTAATTATTTAATGCATTTTATTAGTTATAAAGATAATGAATGATTAATCTATGCAATTAAAATTTTCAAATGCTTGATTGTTGTATAGCGATGATAAATATGGATACTGCACTGTTTTATAGAATTATTTATTATATATATTTACGTAAATTAAATAGATCTCTTAATATAAAACTTAAAATTCTTCTTTCCATTAAATAATATATTTTAATAGAAAATATCGATAAAAATAGAAACATTGGACAAAATATAACGGAATTATGTATTGACTAAACAACTGAATGATTAACACATCTCACTAAAAATAAATTTAAAAAAAAACCAAAAAAACTACCAAAAAATTTTTAAGATGATTTTTTTCTATAAGTCAATGCAACTTAGTTAATATTACATTTTTTTAGCACAATGAACTTGTAATACTTTATAGATAGATGGATACAAAAGATTCCTCCCTTCTCAATACGAATTGTCGATTCGTTTTATTGCCCAGGCACTTACTTTAAAGTCAATATTACTATTATTCTGTTGATGTACATATTAAGGTCAAGTATAATTTCAGCCTACTTGTAAGAAACGTAAATATACCAACAATGCATATACTTCAGTATATTCTCAATTATGTTATTTTTACCATAATAATAAAAAGTTGCAACCAATCAGTATTGTCATACATTTTTCATCATCAATTGTTTCTCTTCTTTACAATAAAAAGAAAAATTTTAATATTATAGAATATATGACAAGTATATACAAACTTGTATTAATTATTAAAAGTAGCAAGTAAAATAGTATTTTCTATGTTCCATAGTGCATATACAAAATTTCAATAAAAATCGCTGAGCAAATAATATTATTATTTTTAATCCATTAATAATTATATTATTTTTGTCAATTTTTCAAATTCGGTTCTTAATAAAATCGGGAGAAATAATGATCTTAGACTTAAACACATAATATGTAAATACACATTCACAAACATATTGTTTTCTTTAAAATAAAAATGTCTCCGTTAATAGAGATCTCATTAAATAAAATTCTCATTTTAAAATATCAACAATCATAAATCATAAAAAATAATATAACTAAAAATCAAAATTTCTCATCAAATATTGAAAATTAACAAGTAATCGACTTTTATTTATTTCCTTATCTTTACATTTATGTTTATTAGAATATATCATATAAAATTTTAGGTAATTTAAAAAAAAAAAAAATTAAAGAATGCACAATATATTGCTTATTATGAGAGGACGATGCGTTAAAAGTATTATAAAACTTTGAAATAAGTCATATAATATTTTTTATTCCTTTCAATCAACATATATATTTTGATAAAATGAAACTGCATCGGAATATTAAATCGATTGTATTACTAATTGATTTTTTACTACATAAGCTGTTCATATACAATTCAAATTTTATTAATATACTTAGCAATTTCATGTAGAAATCACAGACAAAATTTGTTTAAATAAAATTGTAATAAACAATCAATACAATTTTAATAAACTTATAATCTATATGGTTTCGAACTACAAATTTCAACATTAAGCTCTGGCTGAATTTATATACGATTTAATTAAAGATACCAATGATTTAATATTATTTTAACAAGATTAATAAAGAAATAACAATTAAGCCAGATAATAAAAATAAATAAAATATTGAAATCTAAAATAATTCCAAAATATTTTTATAACAAACTATGTTTCAGAACAAAATTATTATTGTTTATTTATGGTATACTCAACTCTAATAGTTACTTGATTAAGAGTAAATATCGCACAATAGCGAAGTCAGATATAAAACAGATTGTTATATAATAAATAGAACATATTATAATATACATAAAAGATAATCAAAATGATTGCCAAGTAATTTTACAAATTAAACAAATGCACATGAATGCAATCGAACTTACAAATTGTATTTACCTAAGCATTGCATTTTTGTATTCATATTATTCATAATAATATATTTTCTAAATTAATTTATAATAAATAATAATAAACAATAGAAATGCATAAGTTTTCTTATTTTTATTAGAAAATATTAAACTTATAAATTCGAAAAAGTTCGATAGATTTAAAGCAGATTAAGTAAACGAGAATATTTTATGTTCTACAGGTTGCTATTTAAAATCATATTTAATCTCATTTTATGGCTTCGTCGTTTGATAATGTGGTTCTTAACTTTCAAAACCTACTCTTGGATAACAAAATAGACTGAAATTTAATAATTGACTAACGATATATTTTAAAGGACTATTATAACACGTACAATTTTAAAAGAACCAATTTTATTGATAAACCAATTTCATTATTCTAAAAGCGATAAATATTTTTATTGTTCAGATTTCTGCACAAATCTTAAATTCAGTGCATTCCTTATCATTTTTAATTAATAATTATAACTATTTTTTAAATTCATCAATTTTCTCTTAGAGTGTATTACTTCTAACAATTATATGTAATGAGCTTATTTATGAACAAATACAACTTATTCGTAAATTACTTCAAATAAAATTATGTTTAGTAGTATTTAATTAAATTATTTATGTTACTATCTCATTTTGATCATAATATTTCAAGTCATTTGAATTCTCTACTCTAGCATCACTAGTCCCAATTACAAAAACCCTACGTAATGCGGCGTAAGATAAGATTATAGCTTACGAATTTCGTACTTAAGATTAGACATTATTATATGCCATTTACTTTAATAATATGTCATTGGAAAATCAAAAATATTTTAATACTATTTTCCAAAGTAAACTAATTAAATATATGCTATCATGAGGAATGGTGAATGATGATTATACCCTTCAGCACATAACCTTAACATTAATACGTAAAAATATTTTGATATATAAAAAATCTAAATTTATATTTTATAACTTAAATACTATTATGAAACATTTTAGGTAATATATTTTATCTATAATAAGGCTTTTATAAAGATATTATTAATTTACAAAATTATTTAATATTATTCCGATAATAATTGTAAATCTTTAAATTTGGCATTGATATATTAGCTAAATTTTGTCCAATATATTATTTTTTTAAATTATTGCCCTTATTATATATATATTTATACATATAATAACACCATTTGTCATTGTTAGTAATAGAAGTTTATAAATATTCATATAAACTTTCGTTCTTTTTAAACTCTTTTTAACATATTAATGTAAGAGAAAAAAATAGAATATAAAATGTTGCGAAATAATATCTCATCGTTTATTTACCTAATAAATGATTTTCATAATTTATTATATCAAAAATTCTCTCGAAATTACATTTAGAGTATTTATTTAAAAATTTGTAAAACAATAATGTTGAAAATTTTTTTATCATTTTTATGATTGTTTTTAATTTTACCAAGCATATAATAAAAGTAAAGAAAAATGTCAAAAAACAGAAATTTGTATCGTTTAATTAGATTATAAAAAAATATAAAAATAAAAATATCATATGTAAATAAGATATGTCGTTAAAAAATAAAATAACGAAATGCAAATTATCGAACAATAGAAGAAAGTAAGGTTATGTCACTTGTATAAATTTAAATTTCAATGTGCTTTTTGGAATTTTGAATCGCAGGTATTTGGACAAGGAAAAATAACTAAATCGAAAAAAAATATATGAGTACCCTCACCGACTCCAAACCAACATTAAAAGCTCCGTGATGTGCTCGCTTTTTAGGCATTTTTCTGTAAAAATTCACATACACGATTGCGGCAAACACGTGATACAACCTTTTTACTACACACAGCTTTTCGAAAATAACTGCAACAAATAGTATAAGACTTTATATTGATCTAATAAAAGGACAAAATATTAATTTAATAGTCACAGTTTTAGCGAATATAAATCCGTACAGTATACACATGCGCGCGTATGTATATTAAAATTGAATTCTATAAAAAGTAAAAAAAACTTGCTACGCTAGAATCTTTAAGGAATCGGCGAATATCAAGTCAACGAGGCTTAAAAAGTGACTAAAACCTAATGGCGGAAGAGAGGAAGAGAGAAAGAGAGAATGAGTCGATAAAAAGAGAAGCGAATAGTTGTATATGAAAAGATCGAGAAGTAGGGATCCGAGAGGTGTTATATGTAACAATATGAAGAAACTAAACGACGAACACATAAGTAGATTAGAGTACCATTTGTACTCGGAGAAATAATAACACCTACATCCAAGGTAATTATGAAGATCTGCATCAATCTGATTTCGAGTTATTGATTTAAAATATTAATAATTTTTAATGAGTAAAAGCAATGCGCCAAACTTTGTCAATCCTAATCTATAACTATACTCCTCATATAAGTCGCATTAAGTTTAATATGAAAATAAACTTTGGACTTAAAATCAAATAATAATTATCGACAGAATTGTAATTAACAGGAATGATAAGAGATACTTGCACTGATGGAGCGCAAGGAATAAGGAAAAATGAAAGTCCCGAAACATGTTGTTTTTCAAATAAGTAGTGTACAGCCTGGCTAAATTCTTAATGCAATAAAGACATTTTTCGCAAAATTTTAGTAATTCCAAAAAATATAAGCATAAAAAAATGCGACGCAATAAATAGTGTCAAAGGAAATCGTCAAATGCATACAAAATGAATTTGCAAAATCTATCGTTTTACATAAGCATAAATTTATTTGCACTTGCACACGCAATTTTCTTAATTACCGATACTGGGCGGATAATTAAATAAGTTTAGAAAGAAGCAGAATGTTGATAATATAAAGGCCCCGGATACGCAGTTATACTCCCGGTAAAATGAGTTCCACCTTCCACTAACGATATTACAATTTTAGAATTGTTTTGATTAACAGTATTCAGTGGACATTAGAAATGTATTGGCGTAAAGTGGATCATTTTACAAACTATCACGTTATTTATTCTCTATTTCATTTAAATATTTAAACTCGGTATAAATAATTATTTCGAAGTGCATTCATTTTTTACTCTCGACTTATTAAATTATCATGGGTATTGTAAGATTAAGGAGTAAGCATTGAAAAATGTTAATTGAATATATTAAATTCGTTTAGAATAGAATTTTCCAACTACTCATCAATTAATATTACATTCCTTTATATTACTGTACGAACAAATTACATAGATTCTACTTTATTAATGATATTATTTTCATAATATCTTTTCAATTTGCATTAAATCTTTCTTTATTTTAAATTTATGTTATACAAAATTGCATATTACAAAGTTAAGTAAGACAAGAGATTGTCAAATATAAAAAAAATTTACTTCTATAGGTTATGAGCTTTTTAAAGAATGTTAATTAAACATTTTAAATATTGACTTAATTTTTTTTTTTTTTTTTTTGACTTAATATTTTTTATGCGTATATAAATGCTAACTTTAAAGTATCGCATTTCAAAAATAACTTTATGATAAACCGACCAATAAATCAGATTTAACAATATGCCTCATTCAACTTCATATTTAATTTTTACCAATTATTTGTAAATAATACTTTTAATAGGCATTTTATTCATACACGGCATTGTCAAAAAATTAATACTCGCACGAATGTCATAAATATGCATTTTATTTGCTTATCGCTTTATATCATTTATCAACTGTAAATGAAGATATTACTGTATGAAAAAACTACGTATTAGTCCATTTTGCATTAGCTCCGATTAACAACATAGATTTGAAAAACATTTAATCCCACGTACATCCTTTATATATAATATGTGTAATGCTATGGATAAATATATTCGTGTTATTTTATACATTTTAACAATAACCATCATGCACTCATATTTCCATACATTTCTATTATTCTTTGCTATTTATATGCGAAATATAACGTTACAATTTAATGTGGTTGTTATTGCTTTAGCATATATTATGTTATATCAACGAACGGCAATTAGTAATTGAAAAATATCAAAAACCAAGATGTTACCATAAAAATTTGCCAACTATCGAAGAAATAATGTACATGTTTATGAAGTGATAACAAATTCAGTAATATAACACATTAATATAACAATCAAAATATAAAGCAACTATTTGACAGTAAATATTGAAAATATATATAATAAATTAATTGTAGAAATGATAAAAATTATAAGTTTTAATTGTAAATACATACATATATACACCCTCACACATTAATGATATAAATATATATTCGATAATGCGTAAAATTAAGATTATTGATTAAATTTTGTGTTTTAGTTGAAACTGATTTTATGGAATGAATATATCAGTACTTGGCTATTATAAATTATTAGCTTTCTAATAAGCAAAGCAAAAGCGATATAATGAAAGTTATACTCTTAATTTTTTATCGATGCTTTAATATATCATAATAAAATCTTTAAAAAATAAAAATTAAATAATATATAAAAATAATTTAACATTTAATAATAATTACAATTTATAAAAAAAAGTATTAACTTTTTTTTGTATCTTAATTTTAATTTCATCTATCAGGTTTACAGATCTACAAGTAACAAAGAAAACACAAGTGTAATGATTATTAGCTACTCCTTTCTATTTCTTTTACTAACTCTCGACAACCATATCGGAGTAACATTTATATATAGAATATTTATTATAGATGCAATACTAGGAGGAAAATGTAAACATTCAATCTTAATCTGAAAGACGATCGGATTAAGTTTAATACGCGAAGCAGATTCAAGCTTTTAGAGAAAGAATTGAATCAATTAAAGGCTACAGCTGTTACGTGTTTTCAAACTATAAACAAATTTTGCAATTATTAAATTTTCTGTACAAATTATTTTGTTTATTCTATCCTAATATTTCATTGTAGGTGTTTGTTAAATTTATGTCTAATTATTATGCCGAACGATTACATTATATTATACATTGCCAATGAGTTAAACTTTATAACCCCAATTAACTGAAATAATATTCATCTTTCTCGTACATTGATTTATACCCAATCGGCTTTCACCTTCATTTTAACAAAAAATACTTCATATATTTTCAATGTTTCGTTGATGCCTCGAAATAGTAAGTAAACCAATAAAAAATTAGTTACATTGTCTCGAAAAAGTATTATTTCCTCTAACATTTTCAACAAACTAAAAATTATACAAGCTTCAAACGAAATAAAGTTCCGAAGTAATCTTCGTCACTATTTTAAATTTAAATTTCACGTTGCAATTGGGAATACGGAATCAGCGACAAATTTGTATTTCAAGAGGCAATATCCGATAACATTATCTTTAGATAAATGCTGAGAAAAGCTTGGTCAACGCTATAAATGCTTCGCCATTAACTTCGCAGTTAACATCCAAAAATCCGAATGTAAAATAGTGGCGAATCGTGGGGATACTATCTCGCAATATGAAAACAAACGCACGTGGCATTGTATATTAAAGGGCAGCAATTGTCGATGAGCGGTGAGACGACGACCGGATAAATATCCTCTTTACAAGCAGGTTAATATTGCACAGACACGGCAGCGCTGCATTTCACTCGAAACGCGAATGGGACGAACGATGGCAGTAACAAAAATCAAATACATATATGTGGCAGGGCAAAAGGGGACAGAATTACACAGGGATTTAGCAATTTTGTGCGCGCGCGTTCGTGGGACTGCCTAGGTGCGTATGGAAGCTTGTGTCTGAAGGATTCGCTCGTCTGTAATCGGATCGACGTGAAGGGTTTCCAGTTTCCTCGAAAATGTTTGATATGGTATGTGCCATTACTCTTACACACATACACATTCACGAACCCTCAAAGAAAAGTTTACTATCTAATCGCGTGTACGTGTATATTGGAGTATGGAATTATAGTCTTTACTTTTCATAGACTATAATCTATAAAATATTTAATTTTTATATTAATCAGTAATTCAGAAAGCTTTGGTTAACAAAAAATAATCATCAAAAATCAAATAGTTAAGTATATTAATAATTGTAATATATATAAACGTAGATATTTACATAAACGTAAATTGTAATAATTGTAATATTCTATTTAAAAAATATATATATATATATATATATATATATATATATATATAACAGAAACTACATAAGCATATTCAAAATAATAACTTTACAATAATAATGAACAAATTTATGAAATTAAAAATAAACGGCACTGCAATGTAATAATTAATAAAACTAGACTACTGATTTGAAATAAATGATCTAATAATTTAATCTCTAAATATATTTCAAATTTTATTTATAAAATTTCATACTCTTATACACATACAATACTGAGTAAAATATTTTTTAAAAGTAATTTATAACTAGTACTAAAATATGAATTTCTTATATATCGATATTAGTTCCATTAGCAGTACATACGTATGTAATCACTTATGTTCTTATATTAAAAAAATTTTATATTATTATTAGATATACAGATAAAAAATAATTAATTATACACTTTTATGAAATTTATAAGCTTTTATACACATATCAAACTATAATGCGTATTTCTTTTCGTTTTTTTTCTCTTTCGTCTTATTTGTTTAAATTTTCTAAAATTATATAAACATTTTTTTTTTAAATTTGGACTCCAAAAGCATTTTGTCAAAAACTAATGATTAGATTAATTATATTCATTTACAAATAATTATTTTCGAAATCCTTATTTTATGTGCCTAATTTTGCTATTAAATATCATTGTTACGTATCTACAAAAAATACTGAAAGATCTACAGAGCATTTTTAAAATTTGAACGATAGATCTATTCACGTACATTTAAGACGAGTGAGAGGGAAGATTACTGGTGGGATTCATGGTGTCGGTGGATCTTCCGTACCGGCAAATTATTGATTTTTCACGGGAACAGGTTTCCAAGGTTACGAATTGAGTGCCCAAGAGCGAGAAAGACGGAAACGAGA